TACTAGATTGATTTAGAAAACTATACATTGCAAAAATCATTATAATTTCACACATTTCAACATACCTTTTCGTTATGAACTCACAAAATCGAGATCGTGACTTTATATGAGAGTCGAAATTTCTTCATGCCATTCGCGACCTTTGCGTTTATATCGTCCATTGACATTGAATCACACACAATATAAAATTATTATCTGTTGTGTTCGCTGTAGGAGCGCACGAAAGTAACTAGCATGATAAAATAGATTGCATGAAAGAAAAGTAATGATAATTGTCTCAAAGCTTATAATGATCCGATTCGCCCTGGTCTACTTTATATGATAGTTGTTGAAGTGAAATAAATATGATTTCATTTTATTCTGAAATAAAAAAAGAAGTATATTTTACAAGTATATTCAATCGCACGTATTGTTTTATTAAAAAATATTTCTACTCCATTGTATTTTACAAGAATTTTTATTATACAAGATCTGATAAACCTCCCTTATTTTAAAATGATGAGAAGTAAAAACAAATACACAATCATATTTTTAACTTTTTTATTGTAAAAAATAACTAAAAAAATTTCTTGCAAAAAATTATCAGACACATCATGTTATCAGTTGTTTTTAATGGCATGATAAATATCGAGTATTTTATTTCAAGAGCTGCAGCTTGTCTTTAGTTGTGGCGACCAAAATTCGATAGCATAAGACATTCATGTTTAGTACCTTGGTGAAAAATTGTGACCATAATATGTTTTCCATAAGAAGAAATCCAAGAGATTCTTAATATTAATATTGAAATCTAAATTTAATATTAAAATTCTTCATGTAAATCCTGTATGTTTTCTCGCTTCTGATGTCATCAATCTAAATGTTCGTAATGAATAGTCAAGAACCTTAAGAGGGAAGAGATTTGTATGGTCAATTTGAAAATCGCGAATTTATTTCAGATAAAGAAATAAGTAGATAATTCTCCGTTTAGGTGTTATTTCCCATTATGTTTGAGATGTGAAAAGTGTTAATTTGATATAAAATTTATTAAAAATATACGTGTTGTCCATGTCTTTAAAATCATTTTTTTTGTCTAATTTTTTTCAGAATACTGTTCTACAGATTAAACATAAAATTTAATATTAGGAAAATATTATTTACAAAATGATAACATTAATATAAAATTCTAATTTTTGCGTATAAAAATTGATGCTGATTTATGTTGTTACATTTTATGTAAATAGATCTAATTAGATCTTAGATAGATGTAATTAGATCTTCATCGTAGATAATTTTGAAAAAAGATAATTATCTAGATAATTTAGAAAAAAGATAATACTTTTTGATCTAAGATAAATGAAGATAATACATATTCTAGTAAAGCCATTTCATCTACATAATTTTAATTATTTAGATAATTTCATCTAGATAGCAGCAAACACTGCTTAAAGATTACCAAGATATTCATCAACGAAATTTATTCATGAATTTTTTGATAACTTTTTATTTTTAGGTAACTATATTATGGAAAGGGGCCGTAGTGATTTGCGTTACACTTCTTTCTGTGCACGGAACCTCTCGGTAGGACCTACATCTATCCCTCACCAACTTCGTGACTCGAAAATATATATTGTAGTTGTACACATGGGATCTTCGCGTGCCTAATTCGATTGCAACTGCTGCCATGAAGACAAATGAGACACTGCACGGCCGAGAATGCGGCGAACTTCCTAATTCAATTTGCCAAGTTGCCGTGATTCCCACGATTCACCATAGGATTCCTATCACTTTCGATTGTACTACAAGGACCACCTTCTCCTTTTCGCGCGTTCCTTATATGAGGATAACGATTCCATGACCGTGGCGGGCGATTCTTCCGTAATCAAGCTGCCGAGTTGCAAATCTTCTTTATGCTGAAATAAATTGCCCCAACAAATGCCCGTACATTACCACGTGGTAGCAAAATCGTCGAGCCATCGCATGAGAAGCAAAAAAAAAGAGACTAAGGGAAGTAGAGAAAGAGAAATTGCCTTACATTGTTATCCACATAGTTTCGATATTACAATTGGACTAGCAGTAACAGAACAAAAGGAGAGAGAACGACCCGTATTTTGCTAGCTTCCCTGTTCCAACGCGAAATTCAATCCAATTGCGTGCCTTTGCGGTTTAAGGATCTACGCACACGTAATTGGGTATTTTCATGTAATTCTAGGAATTTCAAGAAATAGAGATTTCGCGCAAGAATATTGCGACTTCTTTCAAAGCTCTTGAAAGCTGATATTATAAAATAATAAAAGAGAAAATATTTAAATTAAATTAAAAAAAAAGTATTAAAATAATCAATATTAATTACTTTATACTCTTAAAATTTTCATATTAAAATAGATTTTGACATTTGACATTTCCGATGTAGTAATCAACATTCTGCGATTCTAAATTTTGAATTTAAATTAAATTCCTTTTACGTTGTTTGCATCTCGTAATTCGATAATGTTTCAAAATCTATTATATTTTAATTCAATTTCATTTTAGTGGGGCATATTTGCCAAATTAAAATTGTAAAGAAATTTTTCAGTAATTGAGAAAAATATTTTAACTGTACTTTATATATATAATTGCGTTTGTAAAAATGCACAATTATTTCTAAATTATAATTATATATAGAAGAATTATATATACTAGAATTCTAATTATATATAGAAGTATTACGAGACATTAAGTATTATGTAGTAGGGCTAAATTAAAAATTTTTAAGTCAAATAGTTTTTGGGATGCATGCATATAAATTGATTTTTCGGAAATATTCGTTGAACATTTGAAAATAATCGCACTTGTCTTGATTCTTCAATATGCTGCCAGTTACATTCATTATATTCTTGAAAGAAAATAAATTTAAAAAATGTTTACATCTCAAATTGGATTTATCTAATATTTGACAAATATAATTTTGGAATATTATTCTGAGAAAATTGTTGTTATAGCAAATCATATGAATACAATTATTGTAAAATTATCAATTTCTAATGATACATCTGTGCAATGTTTTCCCTGTGGGGACTAAAAATAATGACAATTGCAACTCCATAATGCTTTTAAATTTAAAAAAAATTATATTGAAATAATTATTGCACTTTGCGATTCAATAATGTTATATAATCTAGTTTAATTTGATTTTATATAAATAATGATTTCCTTTTCACCGATAATTCCCTCCTCTCGCAATATATCATGTTCGATTTTTAGCTTAATTTGCATATCCAAATTTTTAATTAAATCGCCCACAAAATGTGCGCCTCTCGAACTCCGCTTCATCTCTCGACGAAACCGCGATCGATAACACCCTTGGCTGTATTATCCCGGAAGGCTAATCCGATTTCCGCCTCGTGATCCAAGCAAAAAGGGCTGCTTTTATTTAGCTCTAATTCATAAGCTTCGCGTCCACATAAAGTTATTTCGAACCGCAATTCGTGGTCTACATTCGCTGTCGTTGAATATATATCCACCCCCTCAGCCTGTCGTATATATATACATCTGTATCCCTTGCTTATATTCGCGACATGTAGGCTGCATCGCCGCGGGATGCGCTGCAAAGTAAACCCCGTAGAGAGCCCCCATCGCACGACATTCCTGTTTTTCTCCTTCTGCCTTTTTTCTCCCTTTCCTTTCTTTCTGTCTCTTCGTTCTTTGTTTTTAAAAGAGTCCTCATTCCTTATGTAACACGATAAGGATCTTTTTCATGTCGTTGCTACTGAATTGTACATACTCGGTGTCGCGAACGAAACGCATCCGACACTCCATTCTCTCTTATCCGAATCGAAATTTTAGTCCTACTGTGAATCTCTTTCAATCTCAATTGAGGGGATGAGCGGAATAAAGGCCTAATTACAAAATCTTGATATTAATAAAAGTTAAAATAACTTGCTACTTTTTTTTATTATACACAAATGGATACAATATTAAATGAATTTATGTATTGTCTTTAAGAAGTTGCATGTTATAAATCTTTTCTATTACGATCAATATTACATGAAAAAGCTAATTGCCGGAAAAAGGGCCTTCAAAGTAGAATTATGCCTTTATTCCGCACATCCTCTCAATTAAACCTTGTAAACCTGTTTTGATACTTGAACAATCAAATAGGATCTCTTTTAATATTATTTAATCCACAGCTTTTATTTAGAAAACTTCTTTTGAACCTAAAAATAGGAAATTTTCTGATAACTGCCATTTACAAAGTCAACGTAGGAGCTTAATTTATTAGAATCTATTTTAAATCTTTAGAGCCTACATACGTTCTAATTATAAATCTTTAGTCTACATAAACTAAAGTTCTTAAAACTAAAGTTCAAAGTAGAAACAAAAAATTTCGACTGAGTTTTTTTCTTTCTTCCTCTATATTTAGCTTTTTCTCTTCTTCTTGCAATGTTTGCGGAGAAAAATCTCGAAAGAGATTCGGAACTTTGCGTGAACGATTTTTTTACTGCGATTCTAGAAGTGAGATGACTTCTTTGAAAGATATAAAATAATTTAAAGAAACACTGAAAGAACGATTTTAACCATAAGTTTGAATGTTCTGGATAATTATGTTGATAGTTCAACAAAATTATTTTCAGATTTGTATTTAGCTAAATTTTTAGAAATTAAAATATAATAATAAACAAATATAAATTATTTACATTTGTTTATTATTAATGTAGCCTTAAGATCTTGGCGTAACCCTATCTTTTGTTATTTTAATTTTTAAATGAATTGAGCCTTTTGTTATTTAGTTGATTTTTAGATACTCCAGAGAAATCATCCTTTCCGTAAAACTTTTTTCTAATATCCTTGAAAATGCCACGAATATAGTTGAGGAAAAAATTGAGGAATAACTCGAGGGATTGAGGAGAAAGGAGGTACCTTCCGAAGTGGCACTCTCGTATTCCGCGGGTACACCGTAGCTGTCGCTGTGACTACGTAATTATCCAGTGAGAGACAGAGGTCGTCGCTGCTAATTAACGCTAGTAGTGGCCGTGAGTACTTACAATTGTGATTCAGCTGAGACAACTCCAGCGCCGCGCACTTGTACCGATGCCTAGACTCCAACGTGGGTATCACAATACCGATCACCAGACTCGAGTCCTTCTCGTGGTAGCACACCAGGGCGTCGCATTCCTTCCCGTCTGCAATGCATAGTCATGTGGTTTCGTGATTACTCGTGCTTCTTCGCTCTGTCAACTGAGCCAAACTGAACCAAACGGACCAACCAAACGAGAAGCAAACAGGGTCGTAACAGTTAATTCAGCTCTTGGACAGACGAAAGAATGGTTTACAGTACCTCTCAGTTTACCTTTTCTTTAATTCTTTTACATAATTATTATAGGATCTTAAAGGAAGAGGACAGAAGGTTGTATGGTTAAACTGAAAGTAAAATCTGCGAATTTATTTCAGGAAATGGACACATTTTTTTCGTTTCAAATATTATTTACTATATTTAGCATGTAGAAAATTAACTTGTAATAACTTATTATACATAGAAATGTAGATATATAAGACACAATATTTTTAGAATGTTACATAAATAAAAAGAGTAAATAATATTCATAATATAACATTCTGCGAATACTTTATATTTATAGGACAGATTTGAAAATTTGATATAGTTACTAAATATTGAGTGAAGTAGTTTCAACTAAATGTTGAGGTAATATAACTAAATATAACTTTACCTTTACAAATATTTAGTATCACCAAACGTGGATGCTTTCCAGCAAGAGACACAGAGGACATAGTAACATAGTGAATTGTTATATCCTCGTTGTTTGCTAATGTTAAACAAAGATAACATGATCACCGTGTCACATTGTGTCGCTTGTTGGAAAGCACCAGGAAAGCAACAGTAATATTTAATTACTTTATATTGAGTCATGAAATAATATTTATGTTACCTTAACATTAGTTGAAATTATTTCACTTAATATTTGATAGCTGTAACTAGACTTCTTTTTCAGTGTAGTTTCATAAGAAGATAGTTCATAAGAATTCCTTACTGTTCGAGTTCTTTCACAAGTTTAAGGGTTGAGTTAACAAATCTCTCGGAAAACAAGATATGAAAACAAGATGCAACAAATATCGAAATCTCTAGATCGATATCTGATCCTCGATCGATCATCGAATCTTCCAAATCCGATGGGACAATTTCAGAAAGACAGATCCACCGATAGGTTTTAGCGCAGATCGGACAAACTTCGGGGCAGATTAAATAGCTTTTCGATAAGGGACGCGAACTGAACTTCCCGAGGGGGAGGGGGGGAAGATTTGCGTCTCTTATGAATATAAAACAGATATTTGGCGCACCTCCGCGAGCCGTGCGATTCGAGAACGAGTTTAAGTAGAACAGGATGATGAGGCGGGAGATAGGGGGTTGAAGGAGGGCGTAATAATTCGCGCATTATCGCTTCCGTTTACTCGAAATTTATTCCCGCGTAGTCTGGAACAGCGCGTAACCGTTCACTCGAGAAATAGATTAAATCGTTATCGCCCCTGCGCCATTATGCGCGCAAAATGTCCCATAGAGGTAAATAATGCGTGCCATAATGGCGACGTCGCTTATATGATGGCCGCAAAAGGGGAGCGATGGCGGTTAAGGAAATCGGTTATGACGTCGCCTTTTAGTTTTACCGTAATTCTAACGTTTATTTATCGGATCGCACGTTCGCGGAATATAGAGGTCTTGAAGGAAAATAGCGGATGCGTAAAAGCGACGACAATGTAAGACCGAGATCGTTTAAATAATTGTTAAATGTCGCTAATAAAATTTGGCTAAGAAAAATGAACGTAACGTTAATTTTCGTAATTAATGATGGAGGAATTTGCACGTTTAAGAAATTAGCGGGACTTTTTGATATCCAACAATAATGCGTATTTCATCGCGAGATAATCAAGTTTTTCGAATAATTCAAAAGTGCAGCTTGAAAATCTAAATTTAAAACGCAACAAATATTTACCAAATAAATTTCGTCCTTACATATTCATCCTGCTAGCGGGATCAATACAGTTTTTTTCGTCACCGTAAATAATTCTATACGGATATATTCATATTGATTATGGTGTATTTTTTTACAAATTATTTTCAAGGCCACTTTTAGTTTCTTTCCCTCATATAGAATTGTATCGCCTCTTTCTTATTTTTTAAATATAATAAAATACATACATTCGAGACAATTTATCACAAATTAATAATAATTATTATTTTACTGGTTTTCTGAATTAAATTATTCAAAGCATTTGTAAAAATCGACAATTAAATAAGTTTTATGGAAACATACACAGAAAAATATTGTTGAAGTATCTAAAAATTTCGTTGGATACAAATCTGAAAATAATTTATTGGACTATCAAAATAATTACGTAGAAAATTCAAGCAAAAAGTTTTGACATTCTAACCAGTTTGAGCGTCCTACATAATTATTTTGATAAAATTATTTTCACATCGACATCCAGCTAAATTTTTAGATACTTCAGCAAAACCGTTCTTTTTATGTATATCTAACATTTCCGTTCTAAATCACGTAATTTTTACATTTGTCCATGTAATTGTACATACTTTTCTTAGTCTCAGTCGGTAAACCAACTGAATCGAAGAGACCCACAGCGAGTCTCTCTCTTCTCCTCTGCGTGAAAGTATCCCCAGCCGACGGAAACGTCGCGTTGTTGTGCTCGATTTCTCACGAACGAACAAATGTCCCACGACATCGCCGCCTTATACGGGGACGCGGAGAGAGAAAATTACAACGATTACCGGCGGATTCTCAGAACACGCAGCGCGCGAGACGACGTCGCCCGTCGCCATTAGCGCGATCCGCGACGGCGTGCTCGTTTTCTCCTGGTTGGCCAGCGAGATCCTCGGCACGACGGTATCATCTATGTCGGACCGACCGCGAAGCAGCCGGCTAATGATATCTCGTTGCATGGCTAATGCCGCAAATTGCCGGCCTGGCCGTAATTGGGCCCGACGCAACGCTGCTGCAGCTCGGCGACGACGCTGCTCTCTTCATCGGCGCGTGAGGATAAACGACGTCGAGCGGGAGAAACTGTCTCGAAGATTTAGGTCGGAATGACATGTTTTTTAGTCGCCTCTATCCTGTGACGTTTATTTGAAATTCTAGAATGGAAACCGAAGAAAATCCGAGCAGGATGAGACCTGAGAGAAATGATTTTGTTATAGGAACAAATCAAGGGAAAAGCAAATGTGATATTTGTTAAAAAAAACTGATCAATTTGTTTACGAT